GGACATTCTGTCCTGTGGGTGGAAATGAACTTAGACTCATCCGCTTCTGGGAAGACTCTGATTCATCCATTTCCTATGCCAAAAACCCACTTAATGAAATAGAGGGAGCCCTGTTGACAAGAGAGGGGCAGCGCCAGCCCCGTCCTACCTGGAGTAAGCGTTCTTGCTCCTGCTGCCATTTTTCCTGTCGCCTGCGCTCCTCTTCCGGGTCCCAGGCCCAGAGCTTAAACTGCTTAGAAACAATGAAACCATGATCAGAATCAAGCAAGTCCCCAAGGGCTGGCCAGCGCCAGAGAAGATGGTCGCAGTCAGCCTCCAGCCTGGCCCCCACGTGGACTGCAGAAGTAGAAGCCTCCTCCCACCCTTGGCGGCAGAAAGCTTTTTTCCTTTATTTTAGGTTTTGGCCACAGGGCATGTGTGTTCACTGGAGAGACAGAGAGAGAGAGAGACAGCAAGAGAGAAAGTGAGAAATCACCACTCCCCCCAGAGGGATGGCCACACTGCAATCCCTTCTCCACTCCTCTAGGGGTTTGGGGCATGCACCCATTCACTCCTGGAGTATTTTCCAAGCAGCCAGATCCGGGACTCGAACTGAGGTCGACCACGTCTCAGTCCAGTGCCTTAACCACTACGGCACCTGCTCGCCACCTACTGGCCCCAGCAGGAAGTGTTTTTAGATTTCAGTCCCTCTTACTTCCAAGAGGTGATCCTTTTTGGAGCTAATGAAAACCGGAAGCAAAGAGCCACTGGCATGGGAGGGCTTCGTGCACTTTCTCTGAGAAGTGGTTTCTTAAATGAATTCACGGTGCTGGGCACGAGAGGCTGGCTCTGCACCTCGATCCCGGGTCCATGCAAACGGGACTGATTATGGCAGCAGAAATGCACTCCGTTCGCGGGTTTGCGGACTACGAAACTGATTGTCCACTGTCACTCCTTCCGTATCCACGTCCCCTACACGGGCAGGCAGCACCAACGCCCACCTGGACGCTAAGGTCCGGGCGAGGCGGCCCTTGCTCTGGGGCCTGCCTATAAAGCACTGAAAGTCGGAACCAGCAGTTAGCGTAATGGCTACGTCGCTGGACTCCCACGTAGTCGACCGTGGTTCGCGTCCTGGACCCGGTGGCTTAAAACTCACGCCAGGCACGCGTGCGTGCATGCCCAAGATCCCGAGAGGAGAACGGAGGAGAAGGGATTGCGGTGTGGCCATCCCCCCTGGGGGGTGATTTCTCGCTTTTTGTCTCTCTGTCTCTCTCTGTCTGGCTGGCGAGTGCACGCGCCCTATAGAGAAAACCTCTCCAAAACAAACAAACAAACAAAAAAACCAAGGTGGGCAAATAAGGGGGGGGAAAACACCCCTGGCTTGCCGCTCTGGGGTTCCCACTGCACGCTGGTGCATTGCAGCCATGGTGAGTTACGGAGGGGGGTTCCTAACTGTCTGTGATCTAAGCTTCCCAGATGGCCGTGGTGACCACACAGTGTCCTCGGAACGTAGATCCTGGGTGGGAAACCGCATCGGGGTTCATGCCCCTGACTTTTCCCTGGACTGGAAGGCTATTGAAATGTTTAGAGCCTCATCTGTTTACTCATGCAAACGCCCCTTTTTTAGGATAAGGGGGCGTTGATGTGAGTAAAGCCATGGGGAGACCAGTGAGGAGATCTAACAGCAGGAAATGAGAACCTCTCAGAGCCGTCCCATTTGCTTTTTCTTTTCTTTTCTTTTTTTTTTTTTGAGACGTTTTTGCTATAGGGCGTGTGCGTTCGCCAGACAGAGAGACAGAGAGACAGAAAGCGAGAAATCACCCCCCGGGGGGATGGCCACGCCGCAATCCCTTCTCCTCCATTTTTCTCTCGGGATCTGGGGCACACACGCACACGTGCCCGGCGTGAGTTTAAGCCACAGGATCCGGGATGCAAACCACGGTCGACTACATGGGAGTCCAGCGACATCGCCATTACGCTAACTGCTGGTCCCCTCCTATTCGCTTTTCAGATCTCACTAGGCAGCAGTCTCCGGAGTAAATCCAGGCAGGGAGAAGAAGTGTGGAGGAGGCGGGCTGAGCTCAGAGAACAGCATATTCGTTAAAAAGCAAGAGACAAGAAGCAGTGGTCATGTAAAGAGGAAAAGAAAGAGATACCAAGAAGAGGGGAAAAATGGTGACCTTGCTGCCTTTTTGGGTGGTAATTTGCTGAGCAGTTACTGTGGGGGTGAGGAGGGGGCCAGCCTGGGGAAGGGCCTAGGCTGTGGAGGTGACAGAGGCCTGTGTGGGGTTGGGGGAGTGGCTGGTATTTAAATGATCACCAGACAGTGTGGACGGTCACCAAAGAGCTGTCCAAAAGGTCCGCTTCACTCCACAATTTATGCCTGGAGGTCTGTAGATTCCTGGGCCTCGGGGCTCCTCGAGGGCAGGGAGGACCCCATGTCCCTCTGAGTCTCCCAAGTTTTGCTTTTTCAGGCCCTCATCGCTGTCTCTTGGCTCATTGAATGGAGCCACTGTCTGCTGGGCCTTCACCTCTCTCCCCTTCCTGTCCCTAGCCCTGGGCACAGCCTGAACCTACTAAGGCCAGCCAAGTCACATGTTTATCTCCTTGTCAGGTTTCACTTACTCCCAAGTTTCTTTTTCATTTCTAGGAAGAACCATTTACCTTTGAAAGCACATCAACTTTGGGTGAGTATTTCCAGAGAATTTACACATATAGGTCAGTAATGGTCTCTGGTTCTGTTTTCTATGAAGGGAAATAAGGAGCATCTCTCTGGAATGGCCTTCCTGACCCGGGGGCATGAGCACACTGTGACATCCGTGTTCCCAGTGCGACCTGAAGTGGAAATCAGAGGGTTCTAGTACCCTTGAGCTCGGCACCAGGAGTGCCAGCTTGGGCAGGGGGGATCCTCCCTGGGCGCCAGGACAATCAAGGCCTCCCAGCACTGGCTTCACTGAGCCTCCACAGTGGTGCCTGGTTCTGGGATGAGGCTGGAGATACCAAGGACTCCGCAGCGTGGATAGCTCCTTTCTCCATTCTGCCAGGCACTTGGCATTCTCCCAGTGACTCCTGACTTGTAGGTAAGAGCTGGTGTTGGTCAGAGTGCCTGTCGGATTAGCCCCTGGGAGGTAGGACTTGACATGCATCAGGCCCTGTGCTAGGGGCTTCTGTATAATTATTTTGATTAAAGCTCACAACTCCCAAAGAAAGGCATTATTCAGGGCTGCAGGGCCAGTACATTTGGAAATGGGGCTCCCCCTGGTGGTCAAGGGCAGTAGCGTTGCCAGATCTGATGAGATTTTTTTTCTTTTTTTGGAGAGGTTTTTGCTATAGGGCACGTGTGCTCACCAGAAAGACAGAGAGAGACAGAGAGACAGAAAGCGAGAAATCACCCCCCCTGGGGGGATGGCCATGCCGTAATCCTTTCTCCTCCATTCTCCTCTCGGGATCTTGGCCACGCACGCACACATGCCCAGTGTAAGTTTAAGCCACCGGGTCTGGGACTCGAACCGCAGTCGACTACGTGGGAGTCCAGCAACATATCCATTAGGCTAACTGCTGGTCCCACTGATGAGAATCTTTGACAGGTCCAGCCCTGGAAACGCGAGCTGGCTGTTAGATACAATTCAGCATCAGGGATTTCCATGGTGTCCTGCATCTGGATTGTTAATTAAATGCTTTTTTTAGGAGCCAACAGGTGGCGTGATGATGAAAGCTCTGGACTCCCACATGGCCGACCATAGTTTGAGCCTTGGACCTGGTGGCTTGCTTTCTCACTCTCTTCCTCTTTCTGTCTGTCTCTCTCTGGTGAAAGTATATGTACTATAGCAAACAAAATAATAATAAATAAAATAAAATAAATTATAATTTATAAGAAGAAATGCCTTATTATCTCAGTGAAATAAAAAATGGGAAACAGTACGTACAGTTAATATTATTCAAGATAATGATTGTGAGAGCGTTTTTGCCAGAGAGAGTTCAGGCTGGGGCCTGTCTGTCAGCAATTATCATGTTGAAGTACTGTCCTCATTGAAAAAATAAGTTTGAATATTTACAGAAATTGCATGTCCTAATACTAATTCCTACTGTCACATTCGTTATCATTGCTTTTTTCACATTTTACTTTTCTGAGTTATCATGTTGTTCTCAGGCACCAAAAGCAATTCCACAGAATGACAGCCCATGTCTTTGTAACTTGCCTGACAGTGTTACAGGTAACTTTAAGTTATTCTTTCTTTTTTTTTTTTTATAACCATTTATTTTTAAATTCCATTTGTTATTATCATTTTTTTTTTTTAATTTGACTAGATAGAAACAGAGAGAAAGGGAAAGTGAGAAAGCAAGCCACCAGGTCTGGGATTTGAACCGTGGTCAGCCACGTGGGAGACCAGCACCTTAACCACCACAGCACCTGCCAGCCCCCGTCAGTTATTCTTCCAAGATCAATTGCTTGGATCTCGTTTCTGATGGAGCAATCAAGCAAACCAAATATGTTATAAATGAACAGCGATCTTATTCCTTAAAACACATGATCTTATTCCTTAAAATGAGTTACTTACTGGAGTAGTTACAGGTGACTTTTCACTGCTCGGAGAATCCACTGTACAGAAAAAAAAAAAAGAAGAAAATAAGACATCAAAGTGAGTAGCTTCTTTCTTTTTGGTCCTTCTAAGGAATATTGTTCTTTTGTCAGCTTCAGATCATTTTTTGTTAAGAGCGTTAGAAAATCATATCATAAATTGCTTGGATCTCGTTTCTGATGGAGCAATCAAGCAAACCAAATATGTTATAAATGAACAGCGATCTTATTCCTTAAAACACATGATCTTATTCCTTAAAATGAGTTACTTACTGGAGTAGTTACAGGTGACTTTTCACTGCTCGGAGAATCCACTGTACAGAAAAAAAAAAAAGAAGAAAATAAGACATCAAAGTGAGTAGCTTCTTTCTTTTTGGTCCTTCTAAGGAATATTGTTCTTTTGTCAGCTTCAGACCATTTTTGTCATTGTTAAGAGCGTTAGAAAATCATAATAAAGCAGACCCCGAGGCAGAAGCACCCGTCACCAGGAGAACGCGGCCAGTGGAACAGGTGGATCACGTCGGGCAGCACTAGGCACTAGACTACCGGAAGCGACATCTACTCCTGGGAGCGCTGCTTCTTAACGCGTGGCACTGCCGCTCGCCTGAGCCGGTGTCTGTGTGCCCGACACAGAGAGAGGCCAGGTGCCATCAGAAGAAAAGGGAGTGACACAGTTAACAAGAGAAACGTGTCCGTTTCAGGGAGGTGCTTCGAATTTCTTTTGTAAAAATAAAACAGAAAGGGACCACAAAGACATAAGTGAATAATATTTCTTTGGATTCTTGAAATCAAAATCCAATTCTGTGAGTCCCCTCACCTCCTAATTTTAGCGTAACTGGTACTGAGCTCAAAGCACTGGCTCTTTGCTAACTGTGTATCAGAAACAAGCTCGATATATTATTTTTTCTGAAATTGGGAACGAAGACAAATGCCAGGTATCATTGGTTGCCCCGACATGGATTTTTGCACCGAAGAACTACAGCTCCCCTGGATGTGGTTTACCTGACCGGCAGAAAAACTGGGAACGTTGCCAAGAGTTCCGGACTCTCAGCGGGACATTGGCAGAGCCAGGCGACTCTAGAGCAGACAGCGGGACAGAACAGACAGCCATGAGACCCGGTGAGCTGGGCTGAGCTAGTCTGTCGTTCTCGGAGCAGAAGAACACGTCCGTCTGTAAATCTGCACACACTTCCTGAAATACCAATCTGAGGTCGCTTTCTCTAGTTGGGTGACAGTAGCTAGAAGGGCATTTTCCACTTTTCAATTTTAGGGATGTTTTTATAATATTTCAGAGCTCTGCGCACGTGCGTGGTGTGTGTGTGTGTGTGTGTGTGTGTGTGTGTGTGTGTGTGCGCGTGTTGAGGGAAACCTGTGGAACATTGTGAAGGCTGACCAGGTCCTCCGGGGCTGTATCATCAGTCTCTGAGCAGATGATTATGGGGGAGCAACAGTTATGGGGGAGATACCAGTCACTTCCTGGGGACGGCAGGATTTGGTGTGGCCCCAGGATTTCTGATCTTTTTTTTTTTTTTTGAGAGGTTTTTGCTATAGGGCATGTGCTTTCACCAGAGAGACAGAGGGAGACAGAGAAACAGAAAGTGAGAAATCACCCCCCAGTGGGGATGGCCACGCCACAATCCCTTCTCCTCCATTCTCCTCTCGGGATCTTGGGCACACACGCACAGGAGCAAGGCGTGAGTTCAAGCCACCGGGTCCAGGACTCGAACTGCGGTCGACTACATGGGAGTCCAGCGATGTAGCCATTACGCTAACTGCTGGTCCCC